AGTCAGTGCTCTCTGATTTCTCCCAAGAACAATTTATTCAGTTGTAATATCTGTCTTGGTGGACATTACTACCTACTTCTTCAGCAGATCTATTTGTCCTGTGCCTCCCAGAGACCCCTCTGAGTTTGCGGGTCCATAATACATCCTGAGGCTTCATATATTCTTCATACAACGCATCTTACACAAGATCACATTTTCAACCCATTGTATCTATACTATCTTCCACTGAAGTGAACCTTAGCATAATGTCTAAGCACATACATGCAGTCTATTGCAGAAGTGCAAGGCATATGAAAACGGAACTCAAATGTGTATTAGCCTCCTTTCTGAACACCAGTTTCCCTGCAGAAAAGGCCTGGTAGCATAGGTCCCTATCAGTCACCAAGCACAAGCAAATATATAGGGTGATCATACAACGAAGTCTGGCAGCATACAGCTGTGAAAATAAAGAAGCTTCACAGCAATAACCTGAAAAGGAAATTTTGGTAGGGGGATGATCAAGAAAGTTGGATTCTTTCTGAAAATCCAGTTTTGAATGGGTCTGAAATGTTCAGATTTTATGGATTCATACACTGTATTACCTTAAATTTGCATCCCCTGAAAAATATTTTACATTTCACTTTAAGAAGGGGAAATCTAGGTCCCTAAAATTTGTTGAAAATTAGGTTAGAAAAAGAAAATCACTATAACTGTCTTTTCTAAGAGTACTTTGTTTCCAAAATGAGATGAATAAAAGCCTTATCTTAGTTTAGACACTGTATGAGCCAGCACAACACCAGCCAGATTTAGACAATATTCTTTTAGTGTAACAAATCTTTCTGAGCAATTATTTTGTTTTCCCTGCTTATAAAAAAGAAAAAAAGTTAAAATTAACACACTTATCACTACTTCTGTTAGTTTTTCATAAATCTCACCATTTAATGTCACTGTGTAACCATAAAAATTGATTTACTATTCTCTCTTTCAAATGAAACTAAAGATAAAATAGCCATACAGAATAAAACAGAATCTGTCTATGGCTGTATTAGTCACAGTAACGCAAAAATGCACACTTATTCATATTTAGCCTCACAGGGTTCAATGATCATGGAACACGTTAGCTCACATTTGGCATTTGACTAGATCACTGAACTCTTTTCTGAACAGCTGGCATAAAGAGCCCACCTAATTATTTACAGATAACTGCAGTCCTCCTCCATCTCTCTCCCCTCTAAAAGATCATAAACTCCAGAGACTGGGAACACACTGCCTAATCAGAGATTACCATTAAAGGGTCAGGCAGTGAACAAACTGAGTATTGACAAGCAGGTGCATAGTCTGAGTGAAAATCATTTAATAAATAAAAGCAATTACTTCAAATAAAGTAGAAACAGCTACTGTATAGGAATGAATGGGATCCTCAATATCAGTTTGTCACGCACAGTTCAATTAGACACAAAAATGGGCCAGTGAATTAGGTTTATTGGCAAGCTGTTAAAGAAAGGAGGCAGATACCATCCTACACGATTGTTTCTCAGTGCAATCCACCTCCCACAAATTCCAACATAGTATCAATAAGGATGGAAAAAATCTCACAAAGCACAAAAGAACATTTTACGTGGATATTTTGGCTGGCAGTCTCACAACTGATTTGATATTCCACAGTAAAAACTGTGGAGAAGTCAAGGAATACATAGCTAAATTGCTGGCTGGATTACGTTAACTACAACACATTTTGTTAGAGAAGAGGACAAAAGAGGCCTAGTTTCCTGGGGCCAAACAAAAAAACAATGAGAAGTCCCAAGACCAGACTCAGAACTCAAAAATAGTGTTTGCAAAATACGGGCCTGCAATACAGTTGATTACCAGTGAATTTCACAGAAAAATTAATAAAAACTTACTCCTGTCATTTTATCTTTACTCAGAAACCCACCCCAGCTTTTCTCCCAAATTCAAAACTTTGCCTGAAGGGCACACAGAATTTTCTAGAGTACAACAAGCTAATTCAGAAACCTGTTTCACAGGGAGCCCCTGAACTCAAAATTACCAAGTGTGACATGATTTCATCTTATTCAGCTTCAAGATGTTTTCCCCATGCGTCTTCATTCTATCCAGCTTTTTAATTCCTTAAACTGGAACTCAGTACAATACTGCATTTTTTGACACTGCAGCTGTGGAAGAGGGGGCTGCAGGAAATACACTGAACAGAAGTACACAGCATCTACTCCCAGAGCCTTTTAACCAGTCAGATTTTTATAATCGTACAGATAATCACACTGGAGGATGCTGTAAGAACATATGCACGGCGTAAGTGGAAATACGGCAAATCATATCTACAGAAGGTGAGGGAGTACAGTGAGATCTACATAGTCACAATACAGAAAAAAAACTATCACTCTTCATGTCATAATTTGGCATCTGTGCTTAT